AAGAGGCAGGAGGAGGCAGAAGTGTAAAATGCTCCCTAGCTCTCATATTTGCCCTTAAGTGTCTGACTTAGTAACGCTAGAGCTGGCCCAGCACAGAGGCAGCATCACAGAGGCATCTGTCACACACCGAGGATTACAACCCATGCTACCTGCATCATCTAGTGCTTGCTATGATCCGAGATATCACTTCAGTTGATGAATCAACAGTTTCATCATCCTGCTGTATTGACTGGGCCCTTGACAAACCAACTAGGGGGAAAAAAGTGTACTGTGACCCAGAATGTGGCCACCCCTCTTGTGAGAGACTGGTAAAATAGCAAGATTCTTATTGTCAAACGTTACTTTAATTTAACGCTATTAATTTCTTATGGTGTATTCTGATTTTATCAGCCATTTCAAAGTGTTTATTTTTGCTTAGAACAACGAGAATATCTGTATGAAATCAGCATTTAAAAACCCTAGGTATCCAAACTTAAAAAAACAAACCCTTCTAAGTATCCAAAAAACTTAAGAATCCAAACTCAGCCCCTGTTTAACCTCACTAGCCAGGACCCCTCTGCTTATCCAAAGTGACCATTTCAGAGACAGTTTTGTTCAGTACTTACAGGCAAGCAATTGCTGTGAAAATGAAACCATATACCTTAGATCCTGTAGCCACCATAGAATAATTTACCTCTTATGTATCTTTAAGTAGGACAATATTTAGTTTGTTATGAGCAATTGAACTTTCAGCTGCTGTAGTACTTCTTGTATTATAAATTAATAATAATTTCTCTTGTACTCTGTTTCCCTCAGGAATTATGAAAAGCAGAGAATGCAAGAATATTTGCAGGAGTTGCAAGAAATGGAAGAAAGAGTAAATCAAAGGCCACTGCTTTTTGAAAGAGTCACTCAGGTTGTCTTATTTCTGTATAACTTCTTAATCTTACCTTCAAATACTGTGTAAGGCATAGATAGTCATAGTCAAACATTTTTAGAAGATATTTGAAAACTACTTTTGAGACCAGTATTTGTCCATTTTAATCTCTGTTGCCCCATCTCCATATAAATGTCACTAATTTTCATGACTAAGCATTCACAGCTTGCTTGCGTAGGGAACAGAGATGGCTGTTCTAAACATGTTGTCCGATTCAGTTACAACACAAGTAACTCTAAACACAACAAAAATCTACAGCAAAAATGTGAGAGGTTTAAGTTGGGAAAGAAGTGATAAGAAAGTTTGAGTATTCTTAGTATTTACTTTAAAGCTCAGATACAGTATTTTTATCCCTCCGTTTCAGTACAACCACGTGCTGCTAGTGTGGTCTTTGACCTGTTTCCAAACCCAGAGAAGCAGCAAGGTGTGGATCACTGCTTCCCTCGTTTCTTCTGTCTGCGTGCGTTTCCTGGTCTGCCATCGCGGCGGGGCAGGAGCATCTGGGTAGACTGGAGGACAAGTCCTCCTCACTCATCACCTGGAGGAACAGAATTTACACCCTCAGTTTGAGAGGCAGAGATGCACATCTCTCTAATTTGTTAAACAGCATTGTGAATCAATACTACTTTTTAGGGCAGCAGCTCCCAAAGAGAAGACAGAGGAGCTCTGGAAAGACTACATCTGATTTTATGCAGGTCCATATCTTCCCCCTCCTCCCTCAATAGCTATATATATCTATATGTATGTATATCTATATATATAGATATGTATATATCTATTAAGAATATATAGGCCTTCATTAGCCAGGGGGCGCAGGGAGCCAACCAGATTTAAACTAGCACAGAAAAAGAAAACCTGCTGTAAAATTTTTGAGTATTGTTTTGCCAATCTTGCCTGCAGTGAATAGCGATTCAACTTATCAGACGCAATTCATGAAACAGAGTACTAATACAAGTATCAAAAGACAGGCATTTAATGCACTTAACACATAACTGTTGTGTTTTTCCTACAGAAAAATGCCAGAATAGCTGCAGAAAAGCATTATTTTAAGAGACTGAGAGCACTGGGGATATGCCCAGAGTTTCTTTCAAATAAAGGACAAACCACTAAATTGCTCCAGTGTGTCAGTGCTGAAGATTTTAATAACACCACTGATGCCAGAGAAAGGTAGAGATTACTGAAGGCTGCTTTTTTTTTTTTTTGCCACTACACACCTAGTAATTAGAAAGCAATTTTTCATGTGAGGGTTTTTTTGTTGGGTTTTGTTTGTTTTTGTAGTACTTCCCAGCTAAATATTTGACTTTACATAGTTAGCATTACTAATGTTTAGCATTAGTATATTTCTTTATTGTTTTCCCTGAATTAAATATTACTTCATAGAACAGAGGACAACCCTAGATACATAGGTTATGCACTTCAAAGAAAAATGAAGAAAAACTTTATTTTCTTTGTTCCTTTCACCAAAAATTCTGGGAGGTTGTTAGTAAGTCACTTCATTCTGTCTTACTTTTACTGAATTCTTAAAAAAACCCTTAAAAATAATTTTCAATATCCATTAGGTTTTATTATATAATAGTACGTGGAAATGAAAAAAAAAAATATATAAGCTATACTGTTGAGTGACTTTCTAGCATAAAAGGAGACTCTAGTGTCCCTCCTTCCCTTTTTCTTCACCAGTTCTATACCAGCCAAGTCTACAGGGATTTGTCCTAGATTACCTGAAGGTAGTATTCCTTTTAAAACCTACTGCAAAGCATCTTACCTGAAAATAAAATCACACTTGCAAATTGTCTTTTCAGAGTCATCAAGGATAAAGCGAAAGAAAGGGAAACCTTTGAGGAAGCAGCTGACAGCAGTCCTCAGTCTGAGCAGTCCTGCGAGGAGAAGGGAGAGAAGAGAAAAGGTGTCAAAACCTCCACCCGGGATGGCCAGTCCAGTGAGCTGGAGGATGAGGAAGAGGCAGGAGCCAGCCCTCATACTCATCGGCCTTGCCATACAGGGGAGGCTGGGTCCAGTCCCCCCTCTGACCAGCTCTGTGAAGAGGATAAGGAGGAGGAGGAGGAAGAGGAAGAGGAGGCAAAGGCAGGCCCGTCACTTGGCTGTTCCCAGGAGGAGGAGCAGTCAAGACCTAGCTCTTGCTCTGACCAGTCCTATGAGCATGAAGAGGAGGGTCGGTCTGACCCTGAAGCCGAGGGTGCCTTCAGATATGAGGATGAGGAATATGAAAATGATGATTCAGAAGAGAAACCCAGCGATGAAGAAGCTGACTGAAAGGAAAGCAGACAGGATGGCCTGGGGCTCAGGAACCTATTTCATTGCTGGCGGTGAAATAAACACCAAAGAAAACCACGGCTTTTTGCTCTTGATACAAAATTCTGTGAATGTAAAGCTCTTAGCACAACGGTTTTTCCAGCACAGGAATGTTGTCTATTTTCCAGTACAAGGCAATAATTGAATTTTATATTAATCTTCTTTTTTCACTTTGGTGACATTAGTGCACCTTTGTTCATAAAATGAACCGCAACCACTGTTTAATAATGTCTTGCATGCTGTGTTACAAGTACTGAGGTCTTATCACATCCAGCTCTTTCTGTGTGCTGGCAAAACCAGATGAGATTTTAGAGTAGTAATTTGCCACTGGCAGTGTCTCCCAGTCTCAAACATTTCAGTACCTCTGGGGTCTGTTCCTGCAACATCTTCTAGGATGGCAGTGAATAGACAAAGGTTTGTTGTGCAAGACCTCTGAGTGTTTTTAGCAGAGCAGCTGCTAGGAAGACAACGTGTTGTGCAGTTAGACAATATGGTCAAATTAATCTGTTCGATTCCCCCCCTCTTCCTCCCCTGGGGTTCGTGAGCTGAACTGGCTCAGTGATGGGTCAGATGAGTGCCAGGGCCAGAAAACATTACTGCTTTTGGAGGAAACAAGCTGTTACATCAAAAAAAAAAATTGTCTTGGAATAATATGGTTATACTGCAGATCTTGTATTACTATCTAACCAAGCCCCAAAACTGTTCTTTCAACTCCATTTTCTTTTGAAGAGCTCTTCCCATGATCGTGTAAGATCATTCTTCATAACGTAGTAACAAATGCTGACATAAATCTTCAAATTTCTTTATTGAGACAGTAAACATGCACTGTAAAGAAAGAATGTTACTATGTCAGATAAAAATGTATCCCAGCAACTCTAGGTGCATGAAAGTATGGTAAGAAGTTCTTTAGTACCTTTTCTTACACATTTTGCTACTCAGGACTTCAGCTACTTCATAACAAGAATGGAAATGGGAGGTTTCAGTTTGGTTGGTTGGGGTTTGTTTTTTTTTTTTTTCCTTCTTTATAGCAGTAGTACCTTCTCCTGCTATTACTAGCTGTCTTGCTAATCTGTCATATGCAATGTTAGGAAAGATAATAAAAGAATGCATCCACATAACAGACCACAGACAAGGATTTCAAACAAGCTTTGTCAGGGTATAATGCAACACTGCACAGGTGCTAAAAACATGTTCATTGATTAGTAGATACATTGGGTAAAACTACCAGGTTTGCAAAGGCATCTGCAATAACTAACAATAAGGGTTGGGGTTTTTTCTTCCATGCTTAATGCAAGGGCACTAACTAAATCTGTTATTATTTCTTCCTTCTGATTTTCAGAAACTGTTACAATGTTTGGAAGTTTTTTATCATTATTACTTTTATTTATTTTTGAAGTGTGAGCATAACTAATATGAATTTGAAATTTATTTTTTTACTTAAATATCCATTGTATATATGTCATACATGAAAATATGAATCATTACTTCACAAGAAAAATCACAAGAAAAATCTCTAGTTACACCTGACAACCTCACAATACAAACTCAAGGTTAGTTTGCTTGTGCTTGTCAGTATTCTATAATTCTGAAGAGTTGTACAATATGTTACTGAATTCATAGTCACATATTACTGATATTTGTCTCTAGTAAATAAAATTTTTTGAAAGAAGGCAGAGCAGCTCTAAATTATGTTTTTCTCATAAAGGTTATTTGAAGAAGTTTCAAATCAGAGAAAGTTCCAATCTGTTTAAGATCTGAGAGCACTCAACTAAGTGTTATAAATGAATATAAATCTGTAGTTGTTGAACTATTAAGACTAAAAATATTACTAAAACTCCTTTGAACTGGAAGGAGGTAGCAAAAGCAATGCTTTTTTTTTTCTTTAAGGTTTTAGAAGGAGTTGAGGACCTGTATATAACTTAGATGGAGTTTTTCACTGAATTTTTACTAAATTATTAATATCAGAATTAATGAACATGGATAAGTATGATATAACAAGGAAGAGTTAGTACAGCTTTTGGAAGTTATGCCTCAACTTTCTTAGCATTTCTGAAAAAGTCAGAATCCTGTGGACTAAGGGGTTCCAATTGATACAGTTTATCTAGATATCCAGGAAGCACTTGACCCAAGTTACTACCAAAGGATCTTAAAAGAAACCAGCTTTATTGCAGGAAAAGAGAGGTCTTCATGAATTAGTAACCAATTAAAAGTTCAGGACAGAAAAGGTCTATTTTCACAGTGTATATGCAGTTCTCTGCAGACATTCAATGAGATTAAAACTGCTCAGCATACTCAGAAGGGATTTGTAGTATCGACTCCAAACTGAGGCCACAGAGTTACTCAGTGCTGTTGCAAAGACAAAGCTGACTGCAAAGAACATGCTGAAGGATCTTGTGACAATGGAAGAACAGATCAGTTTTAATAAGTGCAAATAAATGCATGTGAGGGTAAAAAAAAAACCTCCTAAACGATACAATACTATACATTGAAAAAAGGCAATTCCATCTTCAGTACTGTATGCAATCCTGGTCCTGCCACCTTCAAAGGGATTTATTATGTAACTGGAAGAAGGCAACAAAAATGATCAAAGATAAAGAATGGGTTTCGTATGACAAGAAGGTAGTTTGGTTTTCATATGACAATATATACTAGGGTTCTTAAATTTGGAAAAGATACGAGAGCTCAAACTTTGAGATACTAAAGGAACCACTTATGGAAATCACTTTGAGCACCACAGATTTTCAAAGTGGAAGAATAATGAAATTTAAGTCAAAAAAACTGTTCAGAAATTGCATTGCAAACAAGAAAGGGATAAGCGTTCCAGTAAGGAATTAAAGAGGAAATCGCAAAGAAAAATCACAGATGACAGAACAAAAAAGGGGAGAGACAGTTCAGGATGAATTAAACCTCATGAAGCAAAGTACAGCAGTGAAAAATGCTTCAAAGAAAGAATTAGAGGCATGGACATCATGCTGTCATGAGATGAACAATAGGCTGGCCTAAAAAACAAGTCATTATTTGAGGGTGGCTTTTTGGTTTTGTTTTTGGTTTTTTGTTTTTTGCTTTTTTGGTCAGGAGGATGATTTAAAATGTAGACAAAACAGGAAGAAACTAGTAAGATGATGGCACTGAAATGAAAATTAAAGAAAAAAACGCCAATAACCTCAACATGAAAATCCAAGTCCAGGTGAAAGGTTTTGATAAATTACCAAGATGCAGAGTAGTACCACAGGAAAGGAGAACAGAATATGTAGTACTTTGTCAAAACTCAAAACATTTTTATGCAATTAACATGGAGGGAAAAAAAAGTAATTTGCTTCACAAAAGATGATACAATAGAAGCATTTTAAGGTAAGAAGCTCATCAAAGGAGAAATGGTGATCAGTTATGCTTTCAGGGAAGCTACCTGAAGCAGGAGGGAGATGAATAGAAAAGTTTCTCACAGATTATTGAATATTCTGTCTTTAATGTTTTAATTAATGGCCAAAGCACAAAAGTAGAAACATGTTCAAAAATTTGCAAAGAAAATGAGAGAGGCGTATCCAAAAAAAGGATTAAAAATACCACATGGGAAGAAGACGATAACTTTGCGTGTAGACTGTAGTTTTAAATAAGAATTTAAAAGTGCAAGAATAATATTTCTTTAATGGGAATTCATTACCTGAAGCTGTAAGGAGAGAGACGTAGGTGACTTGTTGAGCAACAGATATTGACCCACAAAATGCGATCATAAAAAAGGCGACGGAATCGAAGGTTGCGCCAGGCAGAATATTTCCAGCAGGACTGGAAGAACAGTACTTGTAAGTCCACAAACACTACAGATCCCTTTCTGGGTTTCTAAGCGATTCTTACGGCACTGAATGCAAGCGATGGCCTTGGCTGGAAATTCTGTGCTGAACTTCCCCTGGTGTGTATCTGCTCAGATGCACCACGGGTTCCCACCAAGATAAGCTGTAGCCATATCCACCACGCTGGAGAAAGTTGATGTTACAGGCAGTCTGAAGAGTCAACATTATCGCTCGGCTGCAAGGCACTGGCTTGCAAGCGTATATAATTTGTAGGGGATACACATCCCAGGAAAGGGATACAGGTTCTGGAAGTGTACTGCTCACAGGCAGCGCAGTTGCTACGGAAAGGCTCTAACATCTGGGGAGCCCAGGCTGAAAATGGTCTTGAGGTCGTGGGACCTGCACTGTCATAAGGCAGCTGCGTTTACCGAAGTTTAGAGACATCAGAAATTATACGTTTTTAGCAGTAGCAAATTCCACAGGAAAAGGAATATCGCTGCCACGTAAACCAAATAGAAGTACAAGGCCCACAGAGAAATAAAAATTACAAGTTACAGCCAGACGCAGTGCCCCTATGACTGTTCAGCACCCACGCCCATCTAACTTGCACTGAATCCAGTTCTAAAATGTTAAAATATTGACAGGTTGTACATAAAACCTATTTATCTATGTTTCTAACTCTTGCTCTATATATTTATATATACATAAATATATATATTTCTATGTTTTGAAGCCAGAAGTTTTGGATATTGTGCTTTTTTCTGGGTGCAATGCAATGTTGTGCTATTGTTCTCAGGGAAGTCAATAACAATTTTGAAATCTAACATAAAAGTGCCACTGAACACTTCTAAAAGCAAAGCATCCAACTTTGAAAAACCGGCTCCAAAAGCACGATACCCAGCTGGACTCCAGTGAGGTTATAGGAACAAGAAGAGTTGCTCCTATGGACTGTTACACATCGTCTTAAGCTTTGGCCAGACAACTACCCCTCTTCAGGGGGTGTTTCTGTCTTTTGGGTCGCCTTCCCATTTTACCTGCATTTCTCAAATATTCCTTGTATATACGATACCGCTTCCTCTAGAAACCATTTTCTCGTGTGCATAATTATCATAACATCAAGCAGGAGGTTATGTTCTCTTTTCCTTTGAGGAAAAAAATTATTACATCATTACC